AAGCAACACACGGAAGATATTCTACAGATAATGGAACGGAGGATGAAGCTGATGGAGGACAAAATGTGGATTGCTATTGGTGCCCTGAGACGAGATGTCGCAATGAGAGATCGACAGGTATGGTGTAGCGCTAAATCACCGAGTTATAGTTATTTGTTTTTCTTTTGCGGTTATACACTTGTACATTATCTGAGTGTATGTTCCACTTGAACGAAGCTTCCCGGAGAGGCCACCTGTCTATTACTTAAATAATCAACTAATCAACAGAGATCAAGGTTATTACATCCCTACGGCTTACGATCAACTAATCAAGCCTAATCAAGAATAACCCACCTTTCTCCACTGGCTTCAATCATCTCCTATCACAACAAGCCCCATGTCAACACACTGCACATCAACCTCCTCTACTGTATAAACACATACCCGTCATGTATATAATTCTCCTTGTGCATACATTGTGCATCATTTGCTTGATAACGGTGTTAGAATCTACACCGAAACGTCGCATCCACTGCAACAAAGAAGTTGTCATATCCATAAAAGTTCTTGATCCTCATCATACCAGCTACTAAATGCCACTTAAAGAAGTAATCAAGGTGTGAACGTGGGGGGCAGTTTTGGAAAATGTACTAGTTGTCAAAACAAAGAGTTACTCTGCAAGAAAGTATGTCATTTTCAGTAATTTCATTTGCAGATTGCAGATATGCAAAAACAACTGGAGAGACTGCAGAGAGGAAGGGATAGTCAAGAACCAGTGACTGGAAACAAACAGAAAGCAACTAACCATGCAAAGGTATTTCTGCTGCCATTTCAGTAACTTTTGGTAATGATTTTTAGACGATTCAGTGTTCTGACACACTTGAGTGAGTTAATATTTACTGTCACATCGGCAATATTGCAGCCATATCGTGCCGCTGACACGCAAGTCATATTTATCGGAATGTTGTATTTTTTCCCATAAATCTTTTACAGGCAACTGTGAGGCAGGCACTTCAGAATGCAGAGACTGCTGGAGGGATGGCTCTAAATCCACAATACAAGTATGAATATACTATATATATATATATATATATACACTAAATTCAAGAGTTTCAATGCATTAAACCGTTCAACAAATACAACTTCAGGTAGAATTACGACAATCTTGACTCTTGAGTGATAACTTTGTCTTCCACAAGACAATAAATTTAGAACTTTAAATTCAGGTTGGAAGCAGAGCAGAACAAGGAAGTTGTGGACTATGCTTGGAACTTTGCTAAGACAGCACTCCCTGCTATTCCGCGCCCTGAATTTCAAGGTATTGCAGTTTTGCTATACAGTTCTTAATCAGTTAATGATGCATTTACATGCGTCACTGCACAGCCATAAATAAGCAAGACCCACTATAATGTAATGATAATACTCATTTCTTGACTTTCCGAAAGTGATTTTTTGTTGCGTAGTACAAAAACCTGTTATGTTCATGGGCGATTTTATTTAACCATTGTATTTTGTGATGACTTCGTTAGATATGTAATATTCATGCGTTTTCTGCCACTGTATTGCATTTTTTTTTGTTCAGTTGCTATGAAAAGATGTCTACAGACAAAGAAGGAAAGGGCCTCAAGACAGAAATGTGGCAGCCGAACAAAGCGGAATGATGACATGAGAAAATACTCCAGAAAATCTACAGTAAGTAAAAATAAAAAAACACAACAAGGTGTCCTAACTGACTTGACTCACTCATCAATTAACATGTTAATTGATGAACCTTAACTGACATGACTCACTCATCACTCAACAAGGGATTAGGCCTTGTCAATTAGTGAATCTTAACTGAAATGACTCACTTATCAATTAACAAGGGATTATGTATTGTTAAACATTGAGTTTTGTTAGAGGCTGAACATGTCCAATAAATATTAACTATTAACTGTGTTCAAATCCACTAAACATGCAACTATCGATATTACTGACCATAAGATTATCAGAATAGCCATTAATTCAATTATCACGTTGGTTTTACACTCACTTTACCTATATGGAAATATAAGTATGAGCATATTGGTTTGTTTTCTTCAGAAGAGTCGTAACAGAGTGAAGGGTATTCGAAAAGCTGACCTCCCAGCCACAAAAGACCAAGTATGAAGAGGCTTTGAAGAATGTTCAACTCATGTCATCGGAAGAAAGTGATATTGACGAAGGTGGCTTCAGATATTTTATTGTGCGACCGAAGGTCGAGTCACGAGAACTGATGTCAGCAAAGAGGCTTGCTGATGAAACTTTTCAACAGTTGCAAGGTCAAGGGGCCATCCCAAAGGCAAGGCGTGTCCGTGGACCACCGTCAAAACCAACATCCCAAGAATGATTAATGATCTGTCATGGGTCAACACTGAGTATGGAATGTTTTAGATAAGTGGAGAAAGTTTACGTCGCTTTTAACAATGTTCCAGCAATAATTAATTAAGTTGACGTGTCTGGTGGCTGGTGTATAATATATAGTATAATATATCTTCTATAATATATATATTATATAGGATGAAATAGATCAGATCATTATAATAGCATAAATGACGCTTTAATGTATATATAATGCCATTATAATGATCTGATCTATTTCATCCTAAATAGTTTTTCTTTCATCCAATGTTTTGAAGCTCAAATGATAACATGGAAGTGTTACTATTCCAATCCATTCTTCAAATGGTCCAACAATATAGTCATTATGGTTACCACCGGCCTGCTGTTTAATTACTATCAAGTTGGATGATATATTAAATTATGCGCACAAACCCACACAAAATATCTGTGATTTGTGAATTCTGTTTTGACAAGGAAATATAAGAATCATTATAGAAACTATGTTCCCTCCCTCTGAGAGGAGCATGACATTATTTATTCATTTTTGATAATTTTATTTGCATAATAATGGGGCTATCAAAATTGAAACAAACTCCTGTATACTACCATTGCGCCAATATTGCGATATTGACCATGGAACAATGTTAAAGGTCACATGCAACGTAAAATACAACTTTGCAGATTCTGATACCTTTTGGTATGGAGTTACCGAAACAAATCATAAAAAATGCAAATTCAACTTATAAAGTTGTTAAAAAACGCGATTAAAAAAAAGCCCGCGAAATCGGAGTTCAAACGATTCACTGAATTTCCCCCGAAACTGGGGGAAAACTGGTTTCAACAGCTGCGCTGCTCTCATAACGCATGCGCAGTGAATAGGTTCGCGGAGCTTGAAATAAGATGCATATATCCTGATTATATGTAGGCCTACACAAAGAAGTAAATAATGTACTCGTTACATAAAATAACATATTGATTGCAAACAAAACTCAATGTCTGTTTCATTAACACCTATATGTCTGCCTGCCTGCCTGTCTGCTAATGACAATATGCAATACACATCTTCAATCACTGACCACATGCAATTTGAACTTAACGCGTATCGGGCCATAAACACAGGTAAATGAGCCAATAAAATCATCTCCGTTACAGTTGAGTGCACGCACACTGGCTCAGACTGGGTTCGGTATCCCGGCTATCACTGACTGCTTCGTTTCGAGAGAAGTAAACCGAAGTATAAAATATTGCACTTTTGATTTGCGATTATGGGCTTATAATTTGTTTATTTGTTTTTTCTTAAGCAGCAATGCATTGTATATATCATGAATAAGTGAAAACTGTGTTTTAATTATGTTCGATTTTTTTGTTGCATGTGACCTTTAAGTTCAGTCGGTTAAAATGCCAGGTTCCTCGTTCACACATACATAGAAACTAAAACCTTATCACAAAACCAAATGCAAGATGTCCCTCGTTTAGAAAGCAAAGCGAATTTTAACAGATCAAGTTATCCTAAGATGGCAAGAAGATAAACGTTCCAGCCCTAAGGGGTTTCTATATTCAATATTTAAAAAAACCCACTGTCTTTTGAAAAATACCTTCTATTTCCAAAATCTATACATGACCCTATTTTGAAGTTTAGAACCTCAAATTTAAATCTTACAATCGAAACTGGCAGATGGCAGAACATACCGAGAGAAGAAAGATTATGTAGACTATGTAATTGCAACTTAGTTGGTGACGAATTTCATTATCTTTTTAAATGCACGTCACTTAATTCTTACAGAAAATCAAAGCTAAGCAAGCTAAGCAACTATTAGCAAGGTCATATCACCTGTCAATTTTAAACTTAGCAACTGTCTATCACTTTGTATCTCTCATTTGTATAAATTGTTACATAAATAACTCATCATCATGACGCATGTCCATATGTATACACATTTGTAAATATTGTATAGTTAAATGCTCTTGTACCACCGATGGTGGTTTTATGAGAATAAAGAAGTTGAAGTTGTAAGAGGCATATAAACTGGGAACTGGGTTATCCTTCCAGAGGCTGTTTTAACTGTTCACTTGCTAATTAACAAGACAGCAGGCCTTGTTAATTGGTGAATCTTAACGGCCTTGATAAGGTCGTTGGGCGTACATTTACCATCACCCATCGGTTATCTCCCTTGTGGACATATAAAATTGGAAATTAATCAACATACAACCAAGTTGAACCAACTTGTTTATGCTGAAAGATGTACATCGAAATGTATGCAATAATCAGGTATTGTTGTTACCACATACGTGGTATGATGCCTTATGTATCCCCATACTGTTTAATGCAGTATAAGTGAAATCTGCTTCAGTGTGCCAATGACCGATCTATTGAAGTTTTACTTTAGTGAATGCTACCTAACAAAATGATCTGAGATTAAACGTCTCACTGAAAATTTGTGTAATCTTATCTCAAGTACTAAGAAATACTGAATGTTTACGTAATACATATAAATCTACCGGTACCAGGTTGATGTGTCTGGCCATGAGTAAACTAACAATGTCATAGTGATTATATAATTTTTAATTTCACCATTACATGAGTCATTAAAGCCTCATTTATGCCATTATAATGTTCTCTGATCCATTTCATCATAAATAGTAATTATTTCATTCAATGTTTAGAGGCGCAAATGATAACCTGGAAAATGTTGCTGTTCAAGTTCATTTTGTAGCGTGATATTATTCAGTGGTCCAACTAGTATAGTCATAAAGGCTACGCTGAATAAGCGCGGGTTGATAATGCGTCGATGATTTGGTGTTGGATAATGGTGACGTCGTTTTGGCGGGATGATGGTAGACGTCGTCGGCCGAGTTGAGATGATGTTGCGGGCGTCGTCGGGACCGAGGCCGGACGTGGAACCGGGTTGGTGGGCTGGCGATGACTGACTGACTGACTGAGCTGGCCTGAGCGCAGGCCTGGCCAGCATGTCTGGTACCGATTTTCGGCGTTGGTGTCTGAGCCTGAGCGCGATTTTCGGCGCAGGCGCAGTCTGGGCCTGGCGCGTCTCGAGCGCGGCCTGGGCCTGGGCCTGAGGCGCGGTATGACGCAGGCACCGACGGCCTGGCTGGGTGGCTGGCCTGAAGCCTGTTTCTGGCCTGGCTGTTGTTGTGTCTGACCTTGTGATTTTGATTTTCAGGCCTGAGCCTGTCTGGCCTGGCCTGGCCTGACGCCGTAGCACGGCCTGGCCTGGTATGGCCTGAGCCTGGGCCTGTGTCTGGTATGGCCTGTTATGATACCGGCTGGCCTGGCCTGGCCTGGTATGACCTGATATGACCTGAGCTGGTACCAGGCCTGGCCTGATACCAGCCTGGTGGCCTGGCCTGAGCCTGTGGTTTGGCCTGGCCTGGGCCTGGCCTGGCCTGACTGTGATCTGGCCGTGATCACCGGCCTGTTCGAGCGCCAGGCCTGAAGCCTGTTTTGGCCTGGCCTGACCTGGTATGACCCGATGACTGGCTGTTTCGGCGTTGTCTGGCCTGACGCGTAGTGGATTTCGGCTGATATGACGTCAGTCTGGCCTGGACCCGGTACAGTACCGAGCGCGCCGTGTTTGGTATGACCTGAGCTGGCTATTTTGACGCAATCTGACGCCAGTGTTTGGCTGGCCTGGTATGACGCAGACGGCGCAGGCTGGCCTGGCCTTATTATTGATGATTTTGGCCTGGCCTGGCCTGGCCTGGCCTGGCCTAACGAGCCAAACGGCGCGCTGGCCTGAGCGCAATGGCCTGACACCTGGCTGGCCTGGCCTGGCCTGACGCGGCCTGGCCTGGCTGGCCTGGCATGTGACTGGCCTGGCCTGGCCTGGCTGGCGCTGGCCTGGCCTGGCCTGGCTGGCTGGCGCGAACAGGCCTGGCCTGACTGGCCTGTGGCCTGGCCTGACCTGAACGCGGCTGTGGCCTGGCCTGGCGTCTTGACGCTGGCGCTGGCCTGTAGCGGTCTGGCTGACTGGCGGCTGACGCTGGCTGACTGACTGGCTGACTGGCTGGCCTGAAGCTGACGGCTGACTGTGGCCTGACTGACTGGCTGACGCTGGCTGACTGACTGGCCTGGCCTGGCTGGCTAAGGCTTCAGCGCACTGACTGACTTGGCGGCCTGAAGCGTTTTACTGGACTGGCCTGGCCTGGCCTGACTGTGTGGCTGGCCTGGCACTGGCGTGTGGCTGGCTGACTGGCTGGCCTGGTGAAGCCTGGCCTGGCCTGGACTGTGTCTGACGCATGTTTGGCCTGGCCTGGACTGGCCTGGCACTTGTGTGACTGGCCTGGCACGCGTCCTGGCCTGGCCTGGCTGGTGACCGTAATCTGGCCTGAAGCTGGCTGTCTGGCCTGGCCTGTTCGGCGCCGTGTCTGTACCTTGAACGGCCTGGCCTGGCCTGGCCTGGCGTGACCTGGCCTGGTATGGCTGACTGGCCTGTCTGGCCTGGCCTGGCCTGGCTGACCTGGCTGACCGGCTGGCCTGGCCTGGCCTGGCGCTGGCCTGGGCTGGCCTGGCTGGCTGGCTGGCTGGCTGGCTGACTGACTGGCTGACTGGCTGGCTGCCTGACTGGCTGGCTGGCTGGCTGACTGGCTGGCTGAGCTGACTGGCTGACGCTGGCTGGCCTGGCCTGGCCTGACTGGCCTGTGTCTGTATGGCCTGGCGGCGAGTCTGGCCTGGCATGGCCTGGCCTGGCCTGGCCTGGCCTGGCCTGGCGCGATATGTCTGACGCGTGTTTGGCCTGGCCTGGCCTACCGGTACTGGCTGACCTCATTTCAAGCCTGTAATCACCCGCTGGCCCGCAATGACCGATGACCCGATGACCGATAGCCCGATGACCCGATGACCGATGACCGATGACCCCGGATGACCGGTGATGACCGACCGGCCGATGACCCGGTGACCGATGACCCGATGACCGGCCGGTATTGACTGGCATTGTGTCTGGCCTTGACGCAATGACGCATGGCCTGGCCTGGCCTGACCTGGCGTGTGTCTGGCCTGAAGCTGTGGCCTGGCCTGGCCTGGTACGCGCATGTCTGACCTGTGTTTGGCCTGTTACCTGGCCTGGCCTGGCCTGACTGGCTGGCTGGCTGGCTATTGGCTGGCTGAGCTGGCTGACTGATGACTGGCTGACTGGCTGACTGGCTGGCTGACTGGCTGGCTGGCTGGACTGGCTGGCTGACTGGCTGGCCTGACGGCTGGCGTTTCTGGCCTGGCCTGGCCTGAGCTGGTCTGACTGTGTTTGGCCTGGCCTGGCCTGGCCTGGCCTGGCTCGGGCTGCCGCTGGCCTGAAGCTGACCTGGCTGACCTTGTGACTGGCCTGGCCGGCTGACCGGCCGGCCGACTGACCTGTGGCTGAACCGGCCGATGACTGGCAACTGTGTCTGGCCTGGCTGGCAAGTGTTTCTGGCCTGGCCTGGCCTGTGTCTGGCCTGGCCTGGCCTGGCCTGGCCTGGCTGTAATCGGCCTGTGTTTGGCCTGGCCTGGCCTGGCCTGGCCTGGCCTGGCTGGCTGGCTGGCTGGCTGGCGCTGGGCGCTGGCTGGCTGGCTGGCCTGGCCTGGCCTGGTACGGCCTGGCCTGAGCCTGGTTTATTTGTTGTGTCTGGCCTGAGCGCGGGCTGGCCTGGCCTGTGTCACGGCCTGGCCTGTGGCTGGCCTGGCCTGGGCCTGGCCTGGCCTGGCCTGATGCCTGGCCTGGCCTGGCCTGGCCTGGCTGAGTGGCAGGCTGGCCACTGGCTGTTGTTGTCTGAAGCCTGGCCTGGCCTGGCGCACGATCTGTCCTGTGTGTTTTGGCCTGGCCTGGCCTGTCACTGGCCTGGCCTGGCCTGTAGCCTGGCCTGGCCTGGCCTGGCCTGGCCTGACGCCTGTGTCTGGCCTGGCCTGGCCTGGCCTGGCCAGGCCTGGCCTGGCCTGGCCTGGTATGGCCTGGCCTGGCCTGGCGGCTGGCTGGCCTGGCCTGGCCTGGCCTGTCTGACTGGCCTGGCCTGGCTGACTGGCCTGGCCTGGCTGGCCTGGACTGGCCTGGCCTGTTCTGGCCTGGCCTGGCCTGGCCTGGCCTGGCCTGGCCTGGCCTGGCCTGGCCTGGCCTGGCCTGGCCTGGCCTGTGTGTCTGGCCTGTGTCTGGCCTGGCCTGGCCTGGCCTCGGCCTGCCTGGCCTGGCCTGGCCTGGCTGGCCTGGCTGGCTGGCTGGCTGGCCTGACTGACTGGCCTGGCCTGTGCTGTTTCTGGCCTGGCCTGGCGTGCCTGAAGCCTGGACTGTTCTTCTGGCCTGGCCTGTGTTTGGCCTGGCCTGGCCTGGCCTGGCCTGCCTGATCTGGCCTGTATGACCTGGCCTGGCCTGTGACGCCTGGCCTGGCCTGGCATGGCCTGGCCTGGCCTGGCCTGGCCTGGCCTGACGCCTGGCCTCCTGACGCCTGGCCTGGCCTGGCCTGGCCTGGCCTGGCCTGGCCTGGCCTGGCCTGGCCTGGCCTGGCCTGGCCTGGCCTGAAGCTGGCCTGGCCTGGCCTGGCCTGGCCTGGCCTGGCTGGCTGGCCTGGCTGGCTGGCCTGGCCTGGCTGGCTGACTGTGGCTGGCTGGCTGGCTGACTGGCTGGCTGGCCTGGCCTGGCCTGGCTGGCTGGCCTGGCCTGGCCTGTTTCTGGCCTGGCCTGGCCTGGCCTGTGCCTGGCCTGTGTTTGGCCTGGCCTGGCCTGGCCTGGCCTGGCCTGGCCTGGCTGGCTGGCTGGCTGGCTGGCTGGCTGGCTGGCCTGGCCTGGCCTGGCCTGGTATTGTGTCTGGCCTGGCCTGGCTGGACTGGCTGGCCTGGCCTGGCGCAAGCCTGGCCTGGCCTGGCCTGGCCTGGCCTGGCCTGTGTCTGGCCTGGCCTGGCCTGGCCTGGCCTGGCCTGTGTCTTGGCCTGGCCTGGCACTGGCCTGGCCTGGCTGGCCTGGCTGACGGCCTGGCCTGACTGGCAATGCCTGACTGTGACCTGGCCTGGCCGGCCACTGCCCGGCCCGGCCCTGGCCTGAAGACTGGCTGACGGCCATGCCTGGCCTGAAGCGGCCGGACTGTTGCCTGACTGGCCCGGCATGACGCGGCCTGGCCTGACTGGCCGGCTGGCTGACTGGTGATGACCTGGCCTGGCCTGCTGTGATGACCCTGGCCTGGCCTGCCGCTGGCTGTCTGGCCTGGCCTGGCCTGGCCTGGCCTGGCCTGGCCTGGTCACTGGCCTGGCCTGTTTGGCCTGGCCTGGCCCTGGCCTGGCCTGGCTGGCTGACTGGCTGACTGGCTGGCGGCTGGCTGGCTGACTGGCGCTGGCTGACTGACTGGCTGGCTGACTGCTGGCTGGCTGGCTGGCCTGGCTGACTGGCCTGGCTGAAGCTGGCTTCAGCTGACTGGCAGCTGGCTGGCTGGCCTGCTGCAGCCTGAGCCTGGCCTGCCTGGCTGACACTGTGTTTGGCCTGGCCTGGCCTGGCCTGGCCTGGCCTGGCCTGGCCTGGCCTGGCCTGGCCTGCCAGCCTGGCCTGGGCTGGCCTGGCCTGCCTGGCCTGGCCTGGCGGCTGGCTGCAACTGGCCTGGCCTGGCCGGCCTGACTGGCCTGGCCTGGCCTGGCCTGCTGGCCTGGCCTGGCCTGACTGGCTGGCTGTCCAGCCTGGCCTGGCCTGGCCTGGCCTGACGCATGTCTGACGCGGCCTGTTTGGCCTGGCCTGGCCTGGCCTGGCTGGCTGGCCTGGCCTGGCTGGCTGGCTGCCTGGCCTGGCCTGGCATAATGCCTGGCCTGGCCTGGCATTGTGTCTGGCCTGGCCTGGCCTGGCCTGGCCTGTGTCTGGCCTGGCCTGGCCTGGCCTGGCGACGCCAGCCTGACATGGCCTGTTTCTGGCCTGGCGTTGTAAGCCTGGCCTGGCCTGTTAATGTGGTACTGGCGAACCTGACCTGGCCTGGCCTGGCCTGGCCTGGCCTGTGCTGGCTGGCCTGGCCTGGCCTGGCCTGGCCTGGCCTGGCCTGGCCTGGCCTGGCCTGGCCTGGCCTGAGCCTTGGCCTGGCCTGTCTGGCCTGGCCTGGCCTGGCCTGGCCTGGCCTGGCCTGGCCTGGCCTGGCCTGGCCTGACAGCCTGGCCTGGCCTGGCCTGGCTGGCAGGCAGGCAGGCTTGCCTGGCTGGCTGGCTGTCTGGCCTGGCCTGGCCTGGCCTGGGCTGGCCTGGCTGGCTGACTGGCTGGCCTGCTGCCTGGCCTGGCTGGCCTGGCCTGGCCTGGCCTGGTCTGCTGCAGCCTGGTCTGAGCCTGGCCTGGCCTGGCCTGGCCTGGCTGGCCTGGCCTGGCCTGCTGGCTGGCTGGCTGGCTGTGTGTCTGGCTGGCTGGCTGGCTGCCTGGCTGGCTGGCTGGCTGGCTGGCTGGCTGGCTGGCTGACTGGCTGGCTGGCTGGCCTGGCTGGCCTGGCTGGCTGGCTGGCTGGCTGGCTGGCTGACTGGCTGGCTGGACTGGCTGGCTGGCTGGCTGGCTGGCTGACTGACGGCTGACTGGCTGGCTGGCTGACTGGCTGACTGGCTGGCTGGCTGGCTGGCTGGCTGGCTGACTGGCTGGCCTGGCTGGCTGACTGGCTGGCTGGCTGGCTGGCCTGGCCTGGCTGGCTGACTGGCTGGCTGGCTGGCTGGCTGGCTGGCTGGCTGACTGGCTGACTGGCTGGCTGGCTGGCTGGCTGGCTGGCTTCTGGCTGGCTGCTGGCCTGGCTGGCTGGCGGCCTGGCCTGGCCTGTCTGGCCTGGCCTGGCATTGTCTCTGCCTGGCCTGGCCTGGCCTGGCCTGGCCTGCCTGGCCTGGCCTGTAGTCTGACCTGGCCTGGCCTGGCCTGGCCTGGCGGCCTGTGCCTGGCCTGGCCTGCCTGGCCTGGCCTGGCCTGGCCTGGCCTGGCCTGGCCTGGCTGGCTGACCTGAGCTGACCCGGCCGGTGACCGGTGGCCCGGCCAGCCGGTGATGACCTGGGCCCGGCCGGCTGATGCCCGGTGGCCCGGTATTGACCCGGCTGACCCGGCCGATGACCAGGCTGGCTATTGTCTGGCTTGGCCTGGCCTGGCCTGGCCTGGCCTGGCCTGGCCTGGCCTGGCCTGGCACTGGCTGGCCTGGCTGGCCTGGCTGGCTGTGGCTGGCCTGGCCTGGCCTGGCCTGGCCTGGCCTGGCTGGCTGGCTGGCTGGCTGGCTGGCTGGCTGGCTGACTGGCTGGCTGGCTGGCTGGCTGGCCTGGCTGGCTGGCTGGCTGGCCTGGCCTGGCCTGGCCTCTGGAGCCTGGCCTGGCCTGGCCTGGCCTGGTTTGGCCTGGCCTGGCCTGGCCTGGCCTGAAGCTGACTGGCTGGCTGGCTGGCTGACTGGCTGGCTGGCTGGCCTGGCCTGGCTGGCCTGGCCTGGCCTGGCTGGCCTGGCCTGGCCTGGCTGGCTGGCCTGGCCTGACTGGCCTGGCCCTGGCCTGGCCTGGCCTGGCCTGGCCTGTAATCACTGCGCAGCGCCTGGCCTGGCCTGGCCTGGCCTGGCCTGGCCTGGCCTGGCCTGGCCTGGCTGGCTGACTGGCCTGCCTGGCCTGGCCTGGCCTGGCCTGGCCTGGCCTGCCTGGCCTGGCCTGGCCTGCCTGGCCTGGCCTGGCCTGGCCTGGCCTGGCCTGTGTTTGGCCTGGCCTGGCCTGGCCTGGCCTGGCCTGACGCTGTCTGGCCTGCTGCCTGGCCTGGCCTGGCCTGGCCTGGCCTGGCCTGGCCTGGCCTGGCCTGTAGTGACTGAGGCTTGTGTTTGGCCTGGCCTGGCCTGGCCTGGCCTGGCCTGGCTGTGTCTGGCCTGGCCTGGCCTGGCCTGGCCTGGCAGGCCTGGCCTGGCCTGGCCTGGCCTGGCCTGGCCTGGCCTGGCCTGGCCTGTGTTACTGGCCTGGCTAATGACCTGGCTGGCTGGCTGGCCTGACTGGCCTGGCCTAGCTGGCCTGGCTGCCTGGCTGGCCTGGCTGGCCTGGGCTGGCTGGCTGGCCTGGCCTGCTGGCCTGTGCCTGGCCTGTGCCTGGCCTGGCCTGGCCTGGGCTGGCCTGGCTGGCCTGGCTGGCTGGCTGGCTGGCTGACTGGCTGGCTGGCTGGCTGACTGGCTGGCTGGCTGGCTGGCTGGCTGGCTGACTGGCTGGCTGGCTGGCTGACTGGCTGGCCTGGCTGACTGCATAGCTGGCTGCTGGCCTGGTGTCTGGCTGACCTGTGGCTGGCCTGGCCTGGCCTGGCCTGGCCTGGCCTGGCCTGGCCTGGACGGTGTCTGGCTGGCTGACTGGCTGGCCTGGCCTGGCTGGCTGGCTGGCCTGCCTGGTCTGGCTGGACTGGCCTGGCCTGGCCTGGCCTGGCTGGCTGCGCTGGTACCTGGCCTGGCTGACTGGCCTGGCCTGGCTGATGATCTGGCCTGGCTGGCCTGACCTGACCTGGTCTGGCCTGGCCTGGCCTGGCCGGTGGCCTGGCTGCCAGCTGCGCCTGGCCTGGCCTGGCGATGTCTGGCCTGGCCTGGCCTGGCCTGGCCTGGCCTGGCACTGGCCTGGCCTGGCCTGGCCTGGCCTGGCCTGGCCTGGCCTGTGCGGCTGGCTGGCCTGGCCTGGCCTGGCCTGGCCACGCCTGGCCTGGCCTGGCCTGACTGGCTGGCTGGCCTGGCTGGCTGGCTGGCTGGCTGGCTGGCTGACTGGCTGGCTGGCTGACTGGCTGGCCTGACTGGCTGGCCTGGCTGTCTGGCCTGGCTGGCTGGCTGAGCCTGGCCCTGGCCTGGCCTGTACGAGCTGGCCTGGCCTGGCCTGGCCTGTGTCTGGCCTGTGGCCTGGCCTGGCCTGGCCTGGCCTGGCCTGGCCTGAGCCTGCTGGCCTGGCCTGGCTGGCCTGGCTGGCTGGCTGGCTGGCTGACTGGCTGGCTGACTGGCTGACTGGCTGGCTGGCTGGCTGGCTGGCTGACTGGCTGGCATTGTGTCTGACTGGCTGGCCTGTGGACCTGGCCTGGCCTGGCCTGGCCTGGCCTGTGGTCTGGCCTGGCTTGTGTTTGGCCTGGCCTGGCCTGGCCTGGCCTGGCCTGCCCCAGCTGGCTGGCTGGCTGGCTGGCTGGCTGGCTGGCTGGCTGGCTGGCTGACTGGCGGCTGGCCTGGCCTGGCCTGGCTGGCTGGCTGGCTGGCTGGCTGGCCTGGCCTGGCCTGGCCTGGCTGGCCTGGCTGGCTGGCCTGCCTGGCCTGGCCTGGCCTGGCTGGCCTGTGTCTGGCCTGGCCTGGCCTGGCCTGCCTGGCCTGGCCTGGCCTGGCCTGGCCTGGCTGGCCTGACTGGCTGGCTGGCCTGGCTGGCTGGCCTGGCTGGCTGGCTGGCTGAGCCTGGCTGGCTGGCTGGCTGGCTGGCTGGCTGGCTGGCTGGCTGGCTGGCTGGCTGGCCTGGCCTGGCCTGGCCTGGCCTGTGTTTGGCCTGGCCTGGCCTGGCCTGGCCTGGCCTGGCCTGGCCTGGCATTGTGTCTGGCCTGGCCTGGCCTGGCCTGGCCTGGCTGGCTGTGTCTGCTGGCCTGGCTGGCCTGGCCTGGCTGGCCTGGCCTGGCTGTGTCTGGCCTGGGCTGAGCTGGCCTGGCCTGACCTGGCTGGCTGAACTGGCCTGTCTGGCCTGGCCTGGCCTGGCTGGCTTGTGTCTGGCCTGTGTTTGGCCTGGCCTGGCCTGGCCTGGCTGTGGCCTGGCCTGGCCTGGCCTGGCCTTGGCTGGCCTGGCCTGGCCTGGCCTGGCCTGGCCTGGCCTGGCCTGGCCTGGCCTGGCCTGGCTGGCCTGGCCTGGCCTGGCCTGGCCTGGCCTGGCTGGCTGGCTGGCTGGCTGAGCTGGCCTGGCTGGCTGGCTGGCCTGGCTGGCTGGCTGACTGGCTGACTGGCTGGCCTGGCCTGGCCTGGCCTGGCCTGGTCTGGCCTGGCCTGGCCTGGCCTGGCCTGGCCTGGCCTGGCCTGGCCTGGCCTGGCCTGGGCCTGGCGCTGTGGCTGGCCATGTTTGGCCTGGCCTGGCCTGGCGCTGGCTGGCCTGGTGTCTGGCCTGGCCTGGCCTGGCCTGGCCTGGCTGGCTGGCTGACGGCCGGCCCAATGCCCGGCCGGCCAGTGAGCCAGCCCGGTGGCCAGCCCGGCCGGCCGGCCAGCCAGCCAGCCGGCCCGGATGGCCCGGCCAGGACTGGCCCGGCCGCCAGCCGGCCCGGCCTGGCTGGCGTGTGTCTGGCCTGGCCTGTGTGGCCGGCCTGGCCTGGCCTGGTGTCTGGCCTGGCCTGGCCTGGCCTGGCCTGGCCTGGCCTGTGTCTGGCCTGTGTTTGGCCTGGCCTGGCCTGGCCTGGCCTGGCCTGGCCTGGCTGGCTGGCTGGCTGGCTGGCTGGCCTGGCTGGCTGGCTGGCTGGCTGGCTGGCTGGCTGGCTGGCTGGCTGGCTGGCTGGCTGGCTGGCTGGCTGGCTGGCTGGCTGGCCTGTTTGCTGGCCTGGCTGGCTGGCTGGCTGGCCTGGCCTGGCCTGTTTCTGGCCTGGCCTGGCCTGGCCTGGCCTGCAGCCCTGGCCTGTGTTTGGCCTGGCCTGGCCTGGCCTGGCCTGCCTGGCTGGTCTGGCCTGGCCTGGCCTGGCCCTGGCCTGGCCTGGCCTGGCCTGGCTGGCCTGGCCTGGCCTGGCCTGGCCTGGCCTGGCCTGTGTCTGGCCTGGCCTGGCATTGTGTCTGGCCTGGCCTGGCCTGGCCTGGCCTGGCCTGGCCTGGCCTGGCCTGTGTCTGGCCTGTGTTTGGCCTGGCCTGGCCTGGCTGGCCTGGCCTGTCTGGCCTGGCCTGGCCTGGCCTGGCCTGGCTGGCTGGCCGGCCAGCCGGCCCGGCCCGGCCGGCCGGCCCGCCCGGCCAGCCCCGGCCCGGCCCGACCCGGCCGGCCCGGCCAGCCCGGCCGGCCGGCCCGGCCGGCCCGGCCCGGCCCGGCCCGGCTGGCTGGCTGGTGTGTCTGGCCTGGCCTGTGACTGGCCTGGCCTGGCCTGGCTACGTGTCTGGCCTGGCCTGGCCTGGCCTGGCCTGGCCTGGCCTGTGTCTGGCATACTGTGTTTGGCCTGGCCTGGCCTGGCCTGGCTGGCTGGCCTGGCTGGCTGGCTGGCTGGGCTGGCTGGCTGGCTGGCTGGCTGGCTGGCTGGCTGGCTGGCTGGCTGGCTGGCTGGCTGGCTGGCTGGCTGGCTGGCTGGCTGCTAGCTGGCCTGGCCTGCTGGCTGGCCTGGCCTGGCCTGGCCTGTGTCTGGCCTGTGTTTGGCCTGGCCTGGCCTGGCCTGGCCTGGCCTGGCCTGGCTGGCTGCTGGCTGGCTGGCGTGTGTCTGGCCTGGCCTGCTGTTTGCCTGGCCTGGCCTGGCATTGTGTCTGGCCTGGCCTGGCCTGGCCTGGCCTGGCCTTGTGTTTGGCCTGGCCTGGCCTGGCCTGGCCTGGCAGCTGTCTCAGCCTGTTTGGCCTGAAGCCTGGCCTGGCCTGGGTCTGGCTGGCCTGGCCTGGCCTGGCCTGGCCTGTGGCCTGGCCTGTTTGGCGCACAGCCTGGCCTGGCCTGGCCTGGCCTGGCCTGGGCCTGGCAGCGGCGCTGGCCTGGCCTGGCCTGGCCTGGCCTGGCCTGGCCTGGCCTGGCCTGGCCTGGCCTGGCCTGGCCTGGCCTGGCTAGCTGGCTGGCTGGCGGTTGGCGGCTGGCTGGCTGGCTGGCTGGCTGGCTGCAGCCTGGCCTAGGCAGGCTGTGTTTGCAGCTGTGTGGCTGGCTGGCTGGCCTGGCCTGGCCTGGCTGGCTGGCCTAGCTCTGGCTGTGTGGCTGGCTGGCCTGGCTGGCTGGCAGCTGGCTGGCTGGCTGGCTGGCTGGCTGGCTGGCTGGCTGGGCTGGCTGGCTGGCTGGCTGGCTGGCTGGCTGGCTGGCTGGCTGGCTGGCTGGCTGGCTGGCTGGCTGGCTGGCTGGCTGGCTGGCTGGCTGGCTGGCTGGCTGGCTGGCTGGCTGGCTGGCATGGCTGGCGGCTGGCTGGCTGGCTGGCTGGCTGGCTGGCTGGCGGCTGGCTGGCTGGCTGGCTGGCTGGCTGGCTGGCAGCTGGCTGGCAGCTGGCTGGCTGGCTGGCGCTGGCTGGCTGTGCTGGCTGGTTTGGCTGGCTGGCGGCTGGCTGGCCTGGCAGCTGGCCCCAGCTGACTGGCTGGCTGGCTGACACGGCCTGACACCCGTGTCTGGCCTGTGTTTGCA